CAGGGGAGGGAAAAGCGGGGGGAGGTCACTTCACCCCAGCCAGAACATCCTTTTTTTTTGCAGCCCGGGCAGGTGTAAGAAGTCGGAGGCGATCTACAAGCAAACAGGCGTCCCGGGGGAATATCACAGCCCTGGTGAGAGGGGGGAGCCCGGCCGTGATAGGGGGCAGGGAACTTCCCCTCATCCCTGTCTGAAGCAGCTGGGTGTGCCTGGGGCCGTGCCCTGGAGGGGTGCCTGCCTGCTCCAGCTGAGGTCCTGACTGGGACAGCCTCTGTGGCCGGGTACCAGCTGCACCCCAGGGTGCTCTGTGCCAGGGATGGTGTCCCACCAGAGTGGTGGATGACCCTCCCCACTCCCTCCCTCTGGGAAGCCATTCTGGGGTAAGACACGTTTAGACCAAGCTTAAATCCTGGGGAAAAACAAGTTCCTCTGCAAAGGGGCCAAGGGTGGGTGCTGCCAAAGGATGAAGCGAGAGCAGTTCCTCACCAGCCCTGGTGTTGGTCTGACCCTGGCCACGGGCAGGGACCACCCCCAGACCCTCCGCTCTCGCCTTCCCACGGGCTGTGGGCTCCCCTGGGCTTTCAGAGGAGCCTCAGCAAGAGGAGAATCCAGGAGGGAGAGACACAGGAGAAAGACGGGCTGGGGTGGGGGCAGCCCTTTTGCACCACTGGAGCTCTCAGGACGAGGTCATTAATTTTTCCCTTTCCTTCCCATCCTTTTACAGAGAGAGGCAATAAAACGGTGCAGGTGCTGGATACCGACGGCAAGACCTACGCTGTCATCTTCGCCTCCAGGGTGAAGGACTGGCAGACCTTGCACATGCTGAGGCTCTACAGTGCGTGCCCGGGGGGCTCTGACCGGGGTGCAGGGCTCGGGGGTGCCGGGTGCTTCGCAGGAGCCTGGGGACCCGCGGGAGAGACCCCCTCCTCCCTCCTGCCCTGGGTCGGGTGTGGGAGAGGGGCTGGGGCTGCTGCGTGTCTGCTGCAGCGGTTCGGGGCTGGCAGAGGAAGGGGCTGGGGCTTCTGCACATGGCTGGGTGTCCATGGCCCTGGACAGGCTGCTTGGTGAAATGGGGTGAGGAGCAGGGGTCCTGCTGCAAGGGGGGAAGGAATGATGGGGATGGGAACCAAGAGAGACCGGTCTCTTCTCTCCATGCTGGTGCCAGGATCTCTGCTTCATCCTGTCCCCTGGGAGGGGTCCCTCATGTGCCTGGCCACCACTGCCCGCCAGGACCTTCCCCACTGCCTCCAGCCTTCTCCCCGGGACCCTCATCTGTCCCATCCTCACCTGGCAAGCTGCCAGCCGCCCAGGAGATGCAGGGACATGCCACAGCCCGGTGCTAACTCGTGTCTTTGCCTTTAGGCAGAACCCAGAAGGTGAGCCCCGAAATCGTGGCACTGTTCAAGAAGCTCGCGAGGGAGAAGAGCTTCACCGACGAGATGATCAGGATGCTGCCCAGGCAGGGTGAGCCCCGGGTCAGGGGGCCTCGGGCGGTACGGGGAGCCGGGACACGCCAGCAGGGAGCAGCCCAGCCCATGACTGCCACCACTTTGTGGTCTGAGCTGGCAGGAGAAAGCTCTGGTAGCCCGAGGCTCTCCAGCACGTCGTGGCTTTCACCTTGCTGTTCATTCCTGGGTTGTCTATTTTGGGTGCTGAGCGGGACTAGCCAGACCACAGCCCCGAGCTCAGCCCTTGTCTCTGTTTTCGCAGAGGAATGCAGCCTCGATGGAGCGTAGGT